CATTTATTTCTGCTCTAATATTTACTATTCTCTTCCTTCTGCTGGCTTCATTTGTTCTTGTTTCTGTTTCATCCTCTAGGTGTAAGGTTAGTTTGTGTATTTGAGACTTTTCTTGCTTTTTGAGGTAAGTCTGTATTGCTCTAAACTTCCCTCTAGGACTGGCTTTGCTGCATCCCAAAGGTTTTAGACTGCCGTGTTTTTATTTTCATTTGTTTCCATGAATTTTTTAAAAATTTCTTCTTTGACTTCCTGGTGGACCCATTCATTGTTTTGTAGCATGTTATTTAACCTCCATGTATTTTTGTCTTTCCAGACAGAGCATTTTTGGCTGCATATTTTCCCATTCAGCACTTTTAATGTATCAATGTCACTCCCTTCTGGCTTGGGAAGTTTCTGCTGAAAAATCTCTAGCTAGCCTTGTATGTATGTTACTGTCTTCTTTTATCTTGCTGCTTTTAAAATGTTTTCTTAATCACTATATTTTTGCAGATTTAATTACAATATGTATTGGTGCTGGCCTGCTTTCATTGATTTTGTTGGGGGTCCTCTGTTCCTCCTGTATCTGTATGTCTGTTTCCTTCCCCAGATTAGGGAAGTTTTCAGCTGTGATTTCCTCAAATAAATTTTCTGCCCCCTTTTCTCTTTCTTCTTCTAGAACTTCTATAATACAGATGTTATTACATTTGATGGAGTCACTGAGTTCCCTACTTCTCATGTTCCTTATTCTTTCTCTCTTTTGTTCTGTTTTATTATTCTACATTATTTTGTCTTTAATATCACTTATTCATTGTACTGCTTCTTTCAGCCTTGTGTTCATTGCATCCAGCCCATTTCTAATCTCAGTTATTGCATTTTTCATTTCTGATTCTTTTTCAACTCTTATCTCAGGGTGAGGACCTCCTCGAAGTCTTCCATTCTTTTCTCAAGCCCAGTGGGTATCCTTATTTTTTTTTAATTTTTTATTGTTATGTTAATCACCATACATTACATCACTAGTTTTGGATGTAGTGTTCCATGATTCATTGTGCATAACACCCAGTGCTCCACGCAGAACGTGCCCTCTTTAATACCCATCACCAGGCTAACCCATCCCCCCACCCCCCCTCCCCTCTAGAACCCTCAGTTTGTTTTTCAGAGTCCATCGTCTCTCATGGTTGGTCTTCCCCTCTGATTTCCCCCCCTTCATTCTTCCCCTCCTGCTATCTTCTTCTTCTTTTTTTTCTTAACATATATTGCATTATTTGTTTCAGAGGTACAGATCTGTGATTCAACAGTCTTGCACAATTCACAGCACTCGCCATAGCACATACCCTCCCCAATGTCTATCACCCAGCCACCCCGTCCCTCCCACCCCCACCACTCCAGCAACCCTCAGTTTGTTTCCTGAGATTAAGAATTCCTCATATCAGTGAGGTCATATGATACATGTCTTTCTCTGATTGACTTATTTCACTCAGCATAACACCCTCCAGTTCCATCCACGTCGTTGCAAATGGCAAGATCTCATTCCTTTTGATGGCTGCATAATATTCCATTGTGTATATATACCACCTCTTCTTTAGCCATTCATCTGTCGATGGACATCTTGGCTCTTTCCACAGTTTGGCTATTGTGGACATTGCTGCTGTAAACATTGGGGTGCACGTACCCCTTCGGATCCCTACATTTGTATCTTTGTGGTAAATACCCAGTAGTGCAATTGCTGGATCGTATGGTAGCTCTATTTTCAACTGTTTGAGGAACCTCCAGACTGTTTTCCAGAGTGGTTGCACCAGTGGGTATCCTTATGATTGTTGATTGCTTTAAATTCTCCATCAGGTATGTTACTTGCATCTTTTTCACCTAGATCTCTGGCCATGGCCTTATCTTGTTCTTTCATTTGGGATAAATTCCTCCATCTTCACATTTTGTCTAAGTCTTTGCCTTCTTCTCTGTGTTAGAAAAGCCAGATATGTCTCTTGTTCCTGAAAGTAATGGCCTTATGAGGAAGAAGTCATATAGTGCCCAGGGCCTGGCTCTTCAGGGGATGTCTCTGGTATGGGCTGCATGTTCTCTGCTATTGTGTTTTGGCTGCTCTATCCTTCAGGCTAATTGTCTGCAGAGGCTCTCCTTGCCCTCTGAGGGCAGTGTTTTGTCCCTGGCCTGAGTGTGGTGAGTTAACTAACAACCACATTGATATTTTATTTTCATAGTGCTTATTCTGTGCTTAGATATAAAGGAATACATAAATAAGAATATAGTCACTTTCTTCCAAGTTACCCTTATACAGTTCAGAAAAAAATATTATGTTTGTGATAGACACATATATATATGAACATAGAGAAAATGATAAGACAAAAATAATAGTATATGAACAAGTAATGAACGTGGGTATAGGCTATATGAAAATTCCTTCTGGAATTCCTTCAATTTCTCTGTAAATTTGAATTGATAGAAAAATTAAAAAAATTAAAATCCTATTACACAAAAACTTCTACAATAACAAAAGCAACTAACAGAAAAATAAGCAAAGAATATAAATAGGTGATTCATGGAGAAAATGAAAATAGTTAATAATATTAAAATATGCTTAGTTCTCATTAAGTATAAATAATCCTCATTAAAGAAAAAACATTTTTCTATACACTTATTTTTATTTTTATTTATTTTAAAAAATTATAGTAAAATATAAATAACATATAATTTACCATTTAAGCCATTTTTAAGTGTATTCACACTGTGCAGCCATCACCACTACTGATCTTCAGAACTTTTTCATCTTGCAAAACTGAAACTCTACCCATTAATAAATAATTCTCCATTCCCATTCTCCCCAGCTCCTGGAAACCATCATTCTACTTACTGTCTCTATGAATTTGACCATGTTAAGATACTTCATGTAAGTGCAATCATACAGTGTTTGTCCTTTTGTGGTTGGTTTACTCCACCTACCATAATGTCTTCCATATTCATCCATGTTATATGCTATAACATGCTGTATCAGATTTTCTTTCCTTTTTAAGGTTGAATAATATTCCATCACATGCATATGCCATATTTTTTTGTCCATTCATCACTGTTGGACACTTGAATGGCTTCTATCTTTTGGCTATTGTGAATGATGTTGCTATAAACAAAGATCTTTTCATGTCCCTGCTTTCATTCTTTTGGGCATATATCTGGAATGGGAATTGCTGAATCATATGGTAATGCTTTATTTAATATTTTGAGGAACAACCATATTATTTTTCATAGTGTTTGCACCATTTCACATTCCTACAACTAGTACATAAGAATACCAATTTCTTACATCCTCACCAATATTTATTTTCTTTCCTTTTTTCCTTTTTTGTCTTCATAATAGCCATCCTGGGTGTGAAATGATATCTCATTGTTGTTTTGATTTTCATTTCCTTAATGAATACTGATGTTTACCATATTTTCATGGGCCTATTGGCTATCTGTATATCTTCTTTGGTGGAGAAATGTCTGTTAAAGTCCTTTGTTCACTGTTTTAAAAAGTTTTTTTGTTTTCATTGTTGAGTCTTAAGAGTTCTTTTTATATTCTGGTTGTTAACTGCTATTCAGATATATGATTGACAAATATTTTTCTCCAATTCTGTGGATTTCCCTTTTACTTTACTAACCTTGTCTTTTGGTGAATAATTTTAAAATTGTGGTAAAATCTGCCTATTTTTTCTTTGGCTGAACCTTTGGTGTCAGATCCAAGAAATTATTGTCAAATACGTATTTAAGATTTTTCCCTATATTTTAATCTAAGAGTTTTATAGTTTAGCACTTAGTTTTAGGTCTTTCATCTATCTTAAAACTATAAGGTAAAGTTTAAGATAAGGATCTGATTTCACTCTTTGGCATGTGGATATACAGTTTCTCCAGCACCATATGCTTTACAAGTCTCCTTTTCCCATTGAATGGTCTTGATATCCTTGTCAAAGTTCATTTGACCATGTATGTGTTGATTTATTTCTTGGTTCTCTATTTTCTTAGTTTGTATGTTTGTCTTTATGCCAATACCACACTGTTTTGTTTACTGTTGCTTTGTAGTAAGTTTCAAAATAACGAAGTGAGAGTCCTCTTTGTTCCTTTTGAAGATTATTTTGACTACTCAGGATCCTTTAAGATTCCATACGAATTTTAGCATAGAATTTTTTATTCTTGAAAAAACATTGCTGGGATTTTGACAGCTATCACACTGAATCTGTAGATTACTTTGTGTAGTATTGATATCTTAACAATATTAGGGTTTCAATCTATGAAAATTCTAGTGCTGTCTATGATGCTGGGATATGAGTCCTTCATGAATTTACTAGCAGAATTATGAACTATGATCATTTGAAAAGTAATTTGGATTTATATATTAAAATAAAAAAACATAGATACCTTTAATGCAATACATGTTTACATGCTCTATTTTATAGAAATATAATACTACAATATAGATATATATGTACAGTGATATTTATTGTACCATTGCCTATAGTAGCAAAAAATATTTTGATAAAAATCTAAATGTCAATAAATATAGCACATTCACATTATAGAATATCATAAAGTAACTTAAAGGTGTGAGATATAAAAGAAATCTATATAACAATTTACCTGTTTTGGAGGTGAGTAGGATCCATCCAAATGATTCTATTATGTACAGAACAAGCAAACTTATCTATCATCTATCTATCTATCTATCTATCTATCTATCTATCTATCTATCATCTATCTATCTATCTATCTATCTATCTATCTATCTATCATTTATCTATCTATCTATCATATAGATAAATAGGTGTGTGTGTGTGTGTGTGTGTGTATGTATGTGCGCCCGTGTGTGTGTGTGTGTGAAACACATGTTTGAAGAAAGGTTTAGAAAAATATACTTGTCTCATAACATTGGCTATCTGGGGAAGGGGGTCCATAGATTTAAGATAATTGGTAAATGGAAACAATGGAAACACAGTATAAAGTTTTATTTCATTTGTCTTTGTATAGCAGTGATTTTTTACCTTCATAGATAGGTTTTCTAGTTGTAGAGATCATAGCAGGCAGAGTATTTGTAAGTTCAACATGTTTTTTTGAGATATAATTTTTTGGATGCCCTAAAAAATGAAAATAACATTATTAAATTATATTAGAAATTACCTGACTTCAACTTTTAAAAATTTATAATAAATTTTAATCCACTTCTAAAGCACAGCTTCCTTAAATTTTTAAAAATAATTTAAAACAGCTTTACTAACACAGATATTTTCTCTCTAGCTTTTCCTTGCTGGGTACTTGATATTTATTAAAAAAACCAGTAAGAGTGAAAATCCAGAAAAAGAAATAATAGAAATAGTCTATATAAACATGCCTAAGAAAGAGCTTTCTTTCTTTCCAGTATTGTAATAAAAAACTATTTAAGCAATTAAATTGATAAATTCTCATATGAAGTTTTTATCTTTTTATAAAACAGAATATCTTTATTTAAAAATTTTTATATAACTACAGTGAAAAATCTAGTGCTAATGGAGGCAGACATGTTTAGAAATACTATTGTTAAGATACGTATTTTGAACACTGTTAAAAACAAAACTATGTAATAAAGAATATAGTTTCAATATGCTTATTTCAAGAAAAATATGCGAAAATAAAAAGAATGTGGGGCATTTAGATGGTGTTTCTCAAAGTTACTGGAAAAAATTTACTAAATTAGTGCTTTGAGTTTCTACAATATATGTCTTACAGAGAAATAAAACATTTTGAATTCTTCCATTTCCTTAAGGCAAGAGTTTGCTTAAGAAATGTTTGTGTCATTATTTTTAGATTAAAAGGCTTAATGGTTTGGTGGAAAATAAAAATATTTTTGATAGAATCCTTTCTATTCCATCCACAAAAAAGACCACTATTATTGTTCTCTTATCATGGAATAGAAATTTAGATAGAAGATTATTCAGACTATTTGTTAGTTCTTATTCTCTTCCTCTTTCTTTTTTCGTCAGGCAATATTACTGCTTATAATTAACACCCCCATCAAAGAGAAAGCTTTAGCTTAGAAGAAAAAACCCAAATTTGGGCACCTGGGTGGCCCAGTTGGTTAAGCGTCTGCCTTCGGCTTAGGTCATGATCCCAGGGTCCTAGGACTGAGTCCCGCATGAGGCTTGCTCAGTGGGGAGCCTGCTTCTCCCTCTCCCCCCGACCCTGCTCCTGCTTTCTATTTCTCTCGCTCTTTCTCTCTCATGCACATGCTCTAATAAATAAAATCTTAAAAAAAAACCCAAATTGTAAGTAAACTAGGAGCTAATAAATGGAAAACGGTATTACAGGTGATATGAAGTAGGAGGTGAATCTGACATTGTCTGGCAGTTAGTAAGAAGAGGATAGTTATCTGAACATAAAGAGCATATTATAATTAATTTTTCTAATTTTACAAAGACTTATTTGCCCAGTAATGCCTTGCTTCAGTTAATAGTCCAATTTATTTTATCTCTGAATTACATATCCACAGAATGGTAAAAGGCAGCCAATGGATATAATGTTAAGAGATAAAGATGCAGAGTTAGAAAGAAAAACTGGTGAAAGTATTGGTAGTATATATAATTATTTGGGGCTTTAGAAAATATAATAGGCCAAAAAAATAATCTACATTTAAAAAAACCTTCCAACTCAATATCTATAGGAAATACACTAAGGTGATGATTATATAATGCCCCTGGAGCAAAGATAAGAAATGGAGTCTGTAAATTAGTTCCTAGATATTAATGGATTAGATAGCTGGGGAGATAGTAATGAAGGGAAAGGGAAGACATTAGGTTTATTTTCCTTCCAATCTACCCTCATGTTGAGTTTCTGTATGGCAGATCCTACTTGGGATTGTACAAAAAGGGAATATATAAATCTAAAACAGAGGATTATGAAATGGGTTTATCATAATGGTGAACAAAAATGGAAGGTTGAGTGGGACACCTGGGTGGCTCATTCAGTTAAGCATTTGACTCACTCCAGTCATGATCTCAGGGCCCTCAGATTGAGTCCCGCATGGGGCTCCACACTCAGCAGGGAGTCTACTTGAGATTCTTTTCCTCTGCCCCTACCCCTGCTCAGTGTGTGCTCTCTTTTTCTCATTCTCAAATAAATAAATCTTAAAAAAAAAAAAAAAAGAAAGGAAGGTTGTGAAAAAAAGTGGAGCTCCAATTTAGTGGTGGCAGGGAAGAAGAGCTATGTCAGGGACACTACTCACTCACTAAGAATGCATATATGTTGGGTAAGCTTAATCAGTGTTCATTTACACATATTTTGCTAAACTGGTTATATGACGAAGGCTAGTATGATCTGGTTATTTCCATATAATTAAAGCTTTACTAATTAAAAAAATCACATTGTACATTACATGAAGTTTCTTTATTCAGTGAAGGAAGCTGGATGGCTTTATAAATGGTTGACCCAGCCCTAGATGTTCTAGGACTTGCTTTTGGAGGTTTAGTCACATGGTGTGAAGTGTACTCAGAAGTTCTTTCTAGAAAAATTTAGAAAATATGTTAGCTATAAGATGAATTACATTTGTAACTAATTTTGATACACAGTAAGTTAGTTGCCAATAAAATTGAAATAACTAAAATTTTTTTGAGATGATTAATTTCATTAATAAAGAAATACACATTAAAAAGGATAGTTTATGAGATCAGAGCTAAGTAAAAGAAGTCACAAAGACCAACTATTATAAATTCCATTTCTATGAAATATCCAGTGTATGGAAATTTATAGACAGAAATTAGATTAGCAGATTATGGCTTGGAGTGTGAAGATTTCTTTTTCACACAATGAAAATGATCTAAAATCAAACATGATGATGAAAGCACAACTCTGCGAATGTACTAAAAACCACTGAATTACGCACTGTAAATGAATGAATTATATGGTATGTGAATTATGTATTGGTAAAGCTATTAAAATTGACAGCTGACTTTCTATAACAAACAATGGAGGCCAGAAGGAAGTGGGATGACGTATAAAAGTGCTGAAAGCAAAAATTCACAACCAAGAATTTAATACCCAGCAAAATTATTATTCAAAAATAATAATAGATAATAGATAAAACAAAAACCTTCCTAGATTAAAAAAAAAACAACTAAGACTATTTGTTGTTATATTAGGAAAATTGTCTTAAAAGAAATACTAAAGAAAACACTTCAGGCTCGTACAAAACAACATCAGGTGGTAACTCAAATCTGCATGAAGAAATAAAAACACTTTAAAAGTAATTATATGGGTAACTATAAATGACAACATATCTTTTCTAAAGTCGTTTCTTCCATTAGCTGATTAAAAGAAACCACTGCCTAAAACTGTATTGCTGGGCATGTAATAGAAAACTCAATTTTATTTCTATATATGAGCATGGAATAACCCCAAAAGTAAATTAGGGAAACAATTTTATTTGCAATAACATCAAAAAAGAACAAAATAGTAATGAATTTAACAGAGGGGCAAGACTTTTACTGAAAGTTACAAAACATTGTAGAAGGAAATTAAAGACAATATAAATAAATAAATTCAATGTTCATAAATTAGAACTTATTTATTTATTTGAAATATGATTGACTATACCACTGTATTAGTTCTAGTAGACAACTTAATAATTGATATATGTGAGTTCAGGAGTCTCCCGTGTCACCATTTTGAACCAGAACTCTTAGAACACTCATATTTTTAAGATTGCAATTCTTTTCAAATTGATAAATTGATTCAGTATAGTCCCTATCAGTACTTCAGGAGTCTTTTTTTTTTTCAGAAATTAACAACCTGAAACTAAAATTTATGTGGAATGTAAAAGACTTAGAATAGCCAAAACCATTTGTAAAAAATAAATAACACTATAGAGACTTCATTTTTCAATTACAAAATTTATTATAAATGTTGTTATCAAAACAGTATGGTAATAGCACAGTGATAGACAAATAGGTCTAAGGAAGAGTACTAAGACCAGTAGTAAACTCTTATATTTATAGCTAATTGATTTTCAACTAGTTACCAAGGCAATTCAATGGAAACAGGATTGTCTTTTCACAAATGTTGCTCTGGCAATCAGATAGATACTTGCAAAAAGATGAACCTGAAACTTTACTTCTCATTATATACAAAAATTAACTCAAAATAAATTACATACCTAAATGTAATAGTGATACTATAAAACTCTTAGAAAAAAATAGAAAATCTTGAGATCTTAAATAGGCAATGATTTTTTAGATTCAAGTTTAAAAGCATGATCCTTAAAAGAAAAATCGATAAGTTGGGCTTCATCAAAATTCAAAATTTTGACTGCCATTAAGAAAGTTCAGACAAGCTGTAGACTGGAAGAAAATATTTGCAAATCACATATCCAATAAAGAAATTGCATCCAGAATATATAAAGAACTTAAAATTTTAAGAACTTAAAAAAAAAAACTTTACAAATGGGTAAAAAATTTTAAAGACATTTCACCAAAGAAATACACAAATGGCTAATAAACACATGAAAAGATGCCCAAAATCATTTTTCAGGGAAATGTAAGTAAAAACCACAATGAAAGCTCATTTCATATCCAACAGAATGTCTATAACCCAAAGTACAGGTAATAGCCATGTGATGGCAAGGATAGGAAGAAATAAAAGCCTTCATACCTTGTTGATATGTGGTAAAATGGCACAACCACTTTAGAAAAGTTTGGCATTTAAAAAATAGTTAAACATAAATTTACCATACAACACAGCAACTCTACTCCTAGGTGTCCACCTAAGAGAAATGAAAATTTGTGTCTTCACGAAGACCAACAAAGGAATATTCAGAGCAGCATTCCTTATAGCCAAAAAGTGAAATAAACCCAAATGTCCATCAACCTATGAATGAATAAAGAATATGTGCTACAGCCATACAAGAGAATACTATTCAGCAATATAGGATACATGTTACTATACAGGTGAATCTCAAAACCATGCTTACTGAAAGAAGCTACACAGAAAACACCATGTATTGTACGATTCCGTTCAAGTGAAATGTCCAGAAAAGGTAAATTGATAGACACAAAAAGCAGATTTGTGGTTGCCTGGGACTGGAAGTGGGAAGGGATCTTGCAGGAATGGTGAAAAAGTTCTAAAACTGAATTAAGATGGTCACTGCAGATCTAGGTAAACTTACTAAAATCCTTGACTTATACCTTGACTCATATAATTAAGATGGGGCAAATTTTCTGATACACAACTTATGCCTCATTGGAGTGTTTAAAAAAATAATTGCTAATCTGTACATCTCTGAGGAACAAATTTACCAATTAGAGTATAATTTTTATGCAGTTGTTTGTGTCTTTAGCCTTACAGTATCCACTGAAAGCATTCTTTTCCAGTTACTTCAAGCTGCTCATTTTTCTCTAACTCTGACAGTAAGGTTATGTCATTCATTTATTTTTGCTTTTTTTTTCTAGCTTTATTGAGATGTATTTGACATATAATGTAGTTTGAGGTGTACAATTTGTTGGTTTGCACACTTACATATTGCAAAATAATTACCACCACAGCGTTAGCTAATTCCTCTATTACATCACATAATTACAGTATCTTTTTTGCAGTGAGACTATTTAACACTTACTCTTCTAGCAACTTTCAAGCATATAATACAATATTATTGACTATAATCATCATGATGTATATTAGATCCCCAGAACTTATTCATCTCCTGACTGGAAGTTTATACTCTTTGACCAACATCTCCCCATTTCCCCCAACCCATAGCTTCTGGTAACCACCATTCTACTCTCTGTTTCTATGAATTCAGCTTTTTTTTAGATTCCACATATAAGTGAGATGATATTGTATATGTCTTTCTCTGTCTGACTTGTTTCACTTTAGCATAATTCCTTCAAGGCCCATCCGTGTTGTTGTAAATAGCAGGATTTCCTTCTTTTTTATAGCTGAATAGTATTCCATTATATATATATATATATAAAGTTCTATTATATATATTATAATTATATTTTATATAATACATAATTATATTTATATATGATATATTTCTAATATCACATATATTATAATAAAACAGTTATTTTGAATTCTTTATAGGGAAAATTTTAGATCTCTGTGTCTTTGGGTTTGGTACTGGAAGATTATTGTAATCCTTTGGTGGTATCCTGTTTCCTTGATTTTTCATATTCTTTAGAGTTTTGTGTTGCTGTTTCATTTGAAGTAGCAGTCACCTCCTCCAGTCTTTACTAACTGCCTTCAGGAAGGAACTGCCTTTCATTAGCCCTGCTATCGATCCTGAGACTTTCTGGGACCTTGAATGCATATACTTGCTCCATACTTATTGCTCCCTTTTGTGGCAGAATTCTTTTTCGGGCGCCTGGGTGGCTCAGTTGGTTAGGTGACTGCCTTCGGCTCAGGTCATGATCCTGGAGTCCCGGGATCGAGTCCCGCATCGGGCTCCCTGCTCAGCGAGGAGTCTGCTTCTCCCTCTGACCCTCTTCCCTCTCGTGCTCTCTATCTCTCATTCTCTCTCAAATAAATAAATAAAAATCTTTAAAATAAAAAAAAAGAATTCTCTTTCTTTTTTTAAAGAACATAGAAGAAAATCTTTGTGACCTTGGGTTACACAAAGATTTCTTTTTTTAAAAAAATTTTTAATTAATTTTTTTATTATGTTATGTTAATCACCATACCTTACATCATTAGTTTTTGATGTAGTGTTCCATGATTCATTGTTTGCGTATAACACCCAGTGCTCCATGCAGTAAGTGCCCTCCTTAATACCCATCACCAGGCTAACCTATTCCCCTACCCTCCTCCCCTCTGGAACGCTCCGTTTGTTTCTCAAAGTCCATAGTCTCTCACGGTTCATCTCCCCCTCCGATTTCCCCCCTTCATTCTTCCCTTCCTACTATCTTTTTTTTTTCTTTAACATATAATGTATTATTGGTTTCAGAGGTACAGGTCTATGATTCATCAGTCTTGCACAATTCACAGTGCTCACCACAGCACATACCCTCTCTGGATCCTGCATCACACCAGGCCAAGTGCTGACATCTTCCCTTTCGTTTTCTCTAGGGTGGCACTACAGCTCAAGTTATTGTTTTTCTCTGGCTCACAGAACCTGACTTGCTTTCTGCAAGTGCTCCCTAGTCCACCAAAGCTTGCTGTCACTAGCACTCTCAGGGGCATGCACAGGGTGCTGGCTGCAGAGTTGGGAGCGGTGTCAGTGAGATAAGCCTGTTGCTGGGGATGCCCACAAGCCAGTTGCTGGATTCTGCAAGTGAGGCTTTCCCAGCAGCTCATGGGTAGGATTCCTGATGGAGTCCACAGCACAGCAGAAGTTACATCCCTTTAATGCTCTCTGAGAATCATATCTGCCACTCTTCTGATCTACTCTCACCCCACAATTTAGTACTTTAGATGCTTTGGTGGTGTTCTGCACAGCTGGGAAAGCCTGGTACTCACTCACCTAATCTCTTGTCCCCTGCAAAGGGAGACATCATGGGATGAGAAAGACTCACTTCGCCCTAGCTGAACCACCTTGGGGGATGTGTGATGAAAACAAAGTCAAATTGTTTCTCTTATCCAATCCAATGTGTCCAAACTCATTTTTTTTATCCAACAAAGTACTGGAACTTCTTATCTGGAGAACTGGACTTCCACAAAACTGTCTTATCTATGGGTGTTCTCCCAGGTGACTCACTGTTCCTTTACATTTTTGTTACCTAGTTAACAACTTTATAGTTAGTTAATGAGTTTTTACACTTTTGCTCTTTTTTCAAACAACTAGTGAGGTTTTTAACTCTTGATGAGCCCCAACTATATACCTCCATTGTCCCAAACAACAGCTAGCCAATTGCCAGACATGTGAATGAACCCACTGACCACAAGGTAACCAAAGATGCATAAGTTAGGCAGCCAAAACCAGTGTACATTGCTAACTCCCAAGTCATGAACCCTAAATCCTGAGTTACTGTTTTAAGCTAAGTAGTTTTGGGGTAGTTATGCAGTAAAAGAACACTAACAAATATGGAAAAAATTTAAAGATTTAGATATTATTTAATATCTAAATATTAGATGGGCATAATTTAAATAAACAAAACACCCACTTGTATGGCTGATGGTTATGCAAAGTATTTTTTTTCTCCACAATTGCTGGGGAAAATGTTAATTTTAATATCCTTTTAGGAAGGAAATCTGGAAATATCTTTTAACATTGCTGGGGAAAATGTTAGTTTTAATAACCTTTTAGGAAAGCAATCTGGAAGTATCTTTTAACATTAAAAAATCCTGGGATTCTCCCAAAGAAATATAAGCATCAATATATAAGAATGCATGTTCATGGATATATTTACCAGTGGCAAAAACCTAAAAAAGTCAATTCCCTTTAATAGAAGAATGATTAATAAAGAATTCTATACTGTGAAATATTATACTGTTAGTAAAGGTATAAATTAAAGCCATTTCATTTTCAGGCTTGCAAAGGTTTACTTAAAATTTATCTGAATAAAAAGATGCAAACTGAGTAAAATGAAAAGCCATACTAAACAACTACTATAAGTAACTACATACTTATTTTATACATATATATGTTTATATATAAAATATATGTATATATTTTACCTTGATTGTCAAAGGGTGATAAATTGATCACTTTTGTTGGGAATTTATTCATTGTGATGTTCTTTGGAAGTAAGTCTTGATGTGAAAATATATTTTTGTTTTTAAATAAATTCATTCCTAAAATAAAAATTTCTAAAAATTAGATGAAGACTCTGAATATTCATACACTACTCTCCAAACACCATGTACTACTAGTCTTTATTTATACGTTTGTAATGTTTTCTTACCACATTTTATTGAGTGGTCACTTGTTTTTTGCTCTAGTTTGTATAAACTATTCAATCATTTTCTCTTCCTTGTCTTTATTCTGTGCTCATTGATAGCATCTTTTTTTTTATCTCATTGAGTATACTCACTTATCAAAAAATTACACGTATTTAATGCATATACCTTTTGATAAGTTTGGACATATGTGTATGCCTGCAATACCATCACCATAATCAAGATAATAAACATATCCATCACCTCCAAAAGACTTCTCTTGTTTTCTTTTTAGGTATGGGGTAAGAACAGTTAGCACAAATACTCCCCCCTCAATGATTTTTAAGTACATAACACTGTATTTTTAACTATAGGCATGATATTGTACAGAAGATCTCTAGAACTTATTCATCTAGTATAACTGTAACATTACGCCAACTGAACAACTACCCATTTCTTTCTACCCCCAGCCCCTGGAAACCACTGTGAGTGGCTTCATTATCTGCTTCTGTGAGTTTGACTTTTTAAATTTATTTTTATTTTTTATTGAAGTATAATTAAGATATAATGTTATATTAGTTTCAGGTGTACAATATGATTCAACAAGTCTATACATTACTGAGTACTCATCATGATAAGTGTACTTTTAATCCCTTTTATCTCTTTTACATCTCATGTAAATGGAATTATGCAGTATTTGTCCTGTGACTGACTGGCTTATTTCACTTAGCATTAATGTCTTCCAGGTTCATCCATGTTGTCACATGTGGAAGGATTTCCTTCTTTTCCAATACTGAATAATATTCCATTGTATGTCTATGTCACATGTTCATTTCATTTTACCCAGTTTTATTGAGATATAATTGACATATAGCATTGCATAAGTTTAAGGTGTATAATGTGATGATTTGATATATATATATATATATATATAAAATGAAAGAATTACAGTAAGTTAAAACCTACATCACCTCACATAACTCTTTATTTTGTGCCAAGAATATTGAAGATCTACTCTCCTAGCAACTTTCAAGTATATAATACAGTATTGTTGATTATAGTTATCACACTGTACATTAAATTCCAGAATTTGTTCATCTTCTAACTGGAAGTTTGTACCTTTTGACCATCTCTCCATTTCCTTCACCCTTCAGCTCCTGGTAGCCAACATATTACTTTCTGATTCTATGAATCCAGCTTTTTTAGGTTCCACATATAAGTAAGAGCGTAAAAATATCTCACTTATTTTGCTTATATAAAGACCTCAAGCTCCATCCATGTCATCACAAATGGAAGGATTTCCTTCTTTTTTGTGTTGAATAATATCCCATTGTATATTTTATACCAAATTTTCTCTATGCCTTTATCTGTCTGTGGGCATTTAGATTGTTTCCATGTCTTGTCTATTGCTGCAATGAACACAGAAGTGCAGGTATTACTTTGAAAGAGTGATTTCATTTCTTTTGAATATGTACCCAGAAGTGGGATTGCTGGATCACATGGTAGTTCTTTTTCTAATTTTTGAAGGAACATCTATGTTGTTTTCCATAATAGTTGCACCAATTTACAATCCCACTAACAATGTACAAGGGTTGCCCTTTCCCCACATCCTCATTAACATTTGTTATCACTTGTCTTCTTGATGATAACCATTCTAACAGGTGGGTCATTGCAGTTTTGATTTGCATTTCCTTGATAGTGATGTTGAGCACCTTTCCATTGGCTATCTGTGTGTCTTCTTTGAAAAATGCCTATTTACATCCTCTGTCCATTTATAATAGCACTGTTTAGTTTTGGGTTTTCTCCTCCTGTTCCCTCTCCTTCCCCTCCCCCCTCCTTTTTTTTTGCTACTGAGTTTTATGAGTTCCTTGCATACCTTGGATATTAACTTATTATGAAATAGATGGTTTGCAAATATTTTCTCCCATTCCATAGGTTGTCTTTTCATTTTGTTGTTGGTTTCTTTTGCTGAGCAGAAACTTTTTAGTTTGATGTCCCACCTGTTTTTGCTTTTGTTGCTTGTACTTTTGATATAATGTACAAAATATTATTGCCAAGATCAATATTAAGCTTTTTCCCTGTTCTTGGAGTATTGAGTTTTCAGATCTCACATAAGTCTTTATCTATTTCAAATTAATTTTTGTTAACCATAGAAGATATGAGTTCAGTTTTATTCTTACATATTGATACCACATTTTCCAACATCATGTATTTTAGAGACTACCGTTTCACATTAAATATTCTTGCTTCCCTTATCAATTATTAATTGTTTATATATGAAGATTTATCCAAGCTCTTGATTTTGTTTCATTGGTATATGGTCTGTTTTTATGTCAGTACTATCCTGTTTTGATTATTATAGCTTTGCAATATAGTTTGAAGACAGGAAGTGTGATGCCTCTAACTTTGTCCTTCTCTCTCAGAATTGCTTTGGCTACTCAGGGTCTTTTGTGGTTCCAAACAAACTTTAAGATTGTTTTTTTCTATTTTTGGGAAAAGTTTCATTGAAATTTTGATGGGGATTGCATTGAATCTATAGGTGGCTTTGGATAGTATCAAAATTTTAAAAACATTAACTTCCAATCCATAAACCTATCACTCATTTATGATTCTTCAATTTCTTTCATCAAAATGTTATAGTTTTTAGTGCTTAGATTGTTACCAACCTTGTTTAAGTGCATTCCAAATATTCTATTGTTTTGATGTTATTGTGACTGAAACAGTTTTCCTTATTTCTATTTCAGATATTTCTCTGTTAGTGTATAGGAATGCCACTGATTTCTGTATGTTGATTTTGTATCCTTTGACTTTACTGCCTTCATTTATTAGTCCTAACAGTTTTATGGTAGAATCTTTAGGATTTTCTCAAAAAAGATCATATCATTTACAAACTTCACTCTTTCTTTTTCAATTTGGATACCTTTTCTTTTTCTTGCTTAATTACTCTAAGATTGCCAGTACTAAGTTAAATAGAAATGATGAGAATGGGCACCTTTTTCCTGATCTTAGATGAAAACCTTTCAATCTTTCGTCTGTGGGCTTGTCATACATGACCTTTATTTTGTTGACATATGTTCCTTCTAAACCAAATTTATTGAGAGTTCTATCATATAAGATGTTAAACTTTGTCAAATGCTTTTTCTGTATCTACTGAGATGATCATGTGATTTTTACATCATTTTGTTAATGTGGTGTATCACATATAATGATTTACTTATGTAGATCCATTTTTGCTTCTCATGGATAAAGCCCAATTGGTCACAGAATATTATCATTTTAATGTTCTGTTGAGTTTGTTTTGCTGGGAATTTTGTTGAGGATTTTTGTATCAGTTTTCATCATGGATGTTATTTATCAGACTTGTAGTTTTCTTTTCTTATAGGGTCCTTATCTGGCTTTGGTATCAGGGTAATGTTAACCTTGTAAAATGAGCTTGAGAGCATTTCTTTCTCTTTAATTTTTGGGAAGTGTTTTAGAAGGATTGACATTAATTATTCTTTAAATTTTTTTTAAAGATTTTTTATTTATTTATTTGACAGAGAGAGACACAACGAGAGTGGGAACACAGGGAGGGGGAGTGGGAGAGGGAGAAGCAGGCTTCCCGCCGAGCAGGGAGCCCGATGCAGGGCTTGATCCCAGGACCCTGGAATCATGACCTGAGCCAAAGGCAAACGCTTAATGACTGAGCCACCCAGCACCCCAATTATTCTTTAAATTTTTGGTAGAATTGACTAGTGAAACCATCTAGGTCTGAACTTTTCTTTGATGGGTGGTTTTGGATAGATAATTGATTCAATCTCCTTATCATTATTGGTCTGTTCAGATTTTATATTTCTTTACAATTCAGTCTTTGTAGATGGTATGTTTCTAGGAATTTTTCCATTTCTTCTAGGTTATCCAATTTGTTAGTTTAAAATTATACCCTGTATCTCATAATCTTTGAATATCTCTAGTATCATTTGTAATGTCTACTCTTTCATTTCTAACTTTTGAGTCCTTCTTTTTTCTACTTTGTCTAGCCAAAGTTTTGTCAATTTTATTTATTTAAAAAAAAACCCACTTCTTATCATCACTGATCTTTTTATTATTTTTCTGGTTTTTATTTCTACTCTGGTCTTCACTATTTCCCTATTTGTGCTGACTTTGGGCTTAGTTTTTTCTTCTTTTATAGCTCCTTGTGTTGAAAAGTTGTTTACTTAGGGCGCCTGGGTGGCTCAGTTGGTTAAGCGACTGCCTTCGGCTCAGGTCATGGTCCCGGAGTCCTGGGATTGAGTCCCACATCGGGCTCCCGGCTCAGCGGGGAGCCTGCTTCTCCCTCTGACCCTCTCCCCTCTCATGCTGTTTTTTTTCCTCTCTCTCTCAAATAAATAAATAAATAAATAAATAAATAAATAAATAAATAAAATCTTTATAAAAAAAGTTGTTTACTTACATCTTTCTTTTTTTGTTACATAGATATTTACCCCTATACACTTACCTCTTAGAATTGCTTTTGCATCATCCTTAAGTTTTGGTGTATTGTGTTTCTATTTTCATTTATCCCAAGTTATTTTTTCATTTTACATTTTATTTATTCTTTGACCTATTGGTTGTCTGGGAGTGTGCTGTTTAATTTACACATATTTGTGAATTTTCCAGTTTTTATCCAGTTATTGATTTCTCATTTCATACTACTATAGTCAGAAAAAATACCTGGTAAGATTTTAAACTTCTTAGATATCCTAAGACTTGTTTTATGACCTGTCATATGATCTTTCCTGGAGAATGCTGTGTGTGCATTTGGGAAGGAAAGAGAATGGGTATTGTGCTTCTGTAGTATGGAACGCTCTATATGTCTGTTAGGTCCATTTGGTCTAAAGTATTCCTCAAGTTCAATGTTTCCTTATTGATTTTCTGTCTGGATGATCTATGCCTGG